ATAGGTTACTGATACTTTTACGCAAAAGGCACTCGTGTTGAGTAGAATTCCTATTTGAGTGATCTGTACACTTCGACGATTCTGCCCTGAATATTGGAAGCGAGGGAAGGAGCTGAAAACATATGCATAATTTTATTATGATGTAGAAATCCATAGCGCACTACATGTATGATGATGAAATTGTGGTGTTAATTATAATTAACATTTTTATACAATTAACGGTATATGAATTGTGTATGTCGTACACGCGTACCTACACATGACTTATTTATATTCTTAGCAATTTTTAGAATTTAAAAACTCACTATCTATATACTCTTTACTTGCAACTGCTTTAAATTTATTTGTTGTACTACTCAAGAAACAAGTTAATTCACATGACAATAATACAACAGTAATATTAGTAACTTGATTTGTACAAAAATAATAAAGTCAAGGGTATACCAATACGTGTGTACACGCGCTCATAATAATAATATAATTTATAATATTATTACGTGGTATGCGTATTATAATACACACAATGACTCACCAATCATGCTCATCTTTTTTTTCCTTCAATACTGCAGTTATTAAATTTTGATTTTTTTAAGTACCTATACTTACTTAAATATCAAATTTTAAAATTCTTAAACTTTTTGTGCTATACTTAATGAGTATCCTGTAGGGGAAAAACTTCCATTTTTCAAATGAAAATCCCATTTTTTAACTTAAAATTAATTATTTGGCAAAATTTTTTTGAAAATGTTGACCGTGTCAAAATCAAAATTTGAACGATTAATTTTGAATTATTTAATTTTATGTATACTTAAGATAATAGATCTATGAAATGTGGATTTGGAATATATGAAAGCTATATACGAAATCGAACATTTTAATAATTAATATTAATCCATCAATATTTATTACTTGTAAAGCTGGTCTATTTTTAAGGAAAATGGTCAATTTAATAACAGAAAAAACTACTCGTTTAAATTTTAAATTATACACATCATCGCTCTGTTTAGGACGTACATATTATATTATCTTAATAACTTGACATAATATACTACCCCTGTAATATTACGCGCATACCTACCGGTCTTCAGAGACAAGCTTTTTCCGGTGCGTCAATATTGTTGTTATATAACTGCAGCAGACAAGTGGCGTCTATAAATTAGCTTCTCAAGTGACACGCGTTCGTTAACAACGAAAGTTTTTGCTCGTTATACAATAACAATATTATGATAGCCGTATTTAATAACAACATGTAAATATTTAACACCGACTTGTCATCCACGCGTATTATGAATATATACCTAATATACAGATATTAATTTTATTATTAGAGCGTTATACGCCGACGCGCGCTCAATATAATAATTCTTGTAGCGTATAATACTGAAAAGTGAAAAGTACAAGTATAATATAATGGAATTTATATCGCATGATCCGCGTATAGTCTACGCCGACTCGAGGACGACTGCAAGCAACTATACCTACCTCCCGTCATCCGCCGTCCGTCATTAAAATAATGACGCGCAAATGTTCACTCTTTTCCGCCTCGTCGTCCAATCAGCTCTTTTTTCTGTTTTTCCGAGTCGATTCGCCGCATCGTTTGCACGCTTCCGTAGCGCTCCGCCGTCGGCACGGTGACGCACTTGGAAAACTCGAATCGCGTTCTGAAAATATGATAATGGCGTTTCGCCGAAAGGGTTTCATTTACCATAATCATACGCGGGGCGGTACACGACAACAGCGTTATGCCTAATAGTCGTGATGGCAGTAATAATCGTATATATTTAGTAACGGTAATGGTCGCGGGGTTAAACGGGCGATACACGCCGTCGGCGTGTATGCGTTTTTTAACGAGCACCCCTATATAATATATTAGTCGGAGGCAGCACGCGAACGACGTTAAACACAAGACGAGACGGCCGACGGTGGCATTATAAACGTTTCTCTGCAGTTAACGCACGACAAAAGTAAATTATTTCTAGGTGGGAGAAAACGAGGGAACCGTTTGGAGCCATCATAATATTATTATATCGTGCGCCCATCAGCCGTTGTTTTGTACTACATAATCTATAGGTAAACGTTCCAATTATTACCGACTAGTGTAGTTATTGCAATATTATCATCCGCCGAACGTGTACCTATTTTAATAATATTTTGATCTGTGCATTACTCGTTCATCGGTGTACTTTATTTTTTTTTTTTTTTTGTAAACTGGTCATCGTTAATTACCAACTGTCGCCGTAGTGCGTTACACTGTTTTAAGCTCTATTGCTGTTATCCGGTAAGCCGAAGGTAAGCTTTTATCCTTGTGGAAATCCTTTGTTACAAAAATTGTAAACGTGTATGACCTATGTGGTATCGACGGTAACTCACCTCGTTACGTATATTATTTTCGAGAATCTAAGACTCTCTTCAACAAAAACATGATGACCTCCATTGATGACGATCGGCATCAATCTTCCTCAAGTGTCGTCGGGCTTTTAACGTGGTCTATAGAATCCTATACACTTTTTTTTTAATATAAATATAAAATGTTATAGATGCTAAAGGGTTTGCGCATCGACAAAATGCTGTGGGTAATATATTTTACAACACGTCGTAAGTATACAAATGAGCCATAACGGTCCGTCAATAGGTATAAAGGTTTGTCCGGTTTTCATTGTACGCAAACAAATTACACTACCTACATATAAGCTTTAAGCATTTATTTAATTCGACATTTCCTTTTCTTTAAATATTATTTTTGTGGAATTTTTTTTTTTTGCACAACATGACTAAGAAAATAATTTAGTTTTTTATTATATTATAACTTTAAAATAATGCATGGATGTATTAATATACTATAAGGATTAAATTTTAAATACTTCACTTAATGAATTTTCCACTAAATACTTAATTAATCACAAAATCGCATTCTATGATTTATATTTTTTCTTGACGCAATACTATACGTGATTTTAAAACTCCTAATATTCGTGTACAGGTAAAATTCAACTTTAAATACTTAAAAACCTAATTGATTTGTATTTCTGCTTTAGTGGTTTTGTGTATTATTTCCCGTGTATTAACTCACATCGAATGATAAATCGTACACCGGTTAAAGCGTAAATGGTCAATAACGGTTTGATGTTAATGGCCGTCAACTACCGTCACGTGATTTAAGAAAAAATATCACTGTACCCCATAAAAACTTAGATATACTTGTAATTGAATTACATACTGTCTAGTAGTAACACTATAAGAACGTATTAAGATTTATTAAAGGTCTGTGTGTAATTTAGGGATACCACCAAACGACCAAACAGTTCACGCGATAACATCTCTAAAAGTTTTTTTTTCAAACTATACCACTGTCTATGGACATTGTAATGGTATTTTTGATTAGTTACCAAAATAATCTCATTCGTCTTAATCCTTTAGAGTCTAATTTCACATTGAAACATTTATCTTTAGTACTGGACTACTGGGTAAATTTTTTGTCGGTTATCAACAGTCACAAAACATCTATTGACATTTTAAATGCAAAAACTGTACTATGTGATTTTAATCTCACCCGCAGTCGACTAAACATCAACTTGAATTAAACGTCATCTCCAGATGACCAGATACTTATATTGTCGTATCAATAATTCTTGAGAGTAATATTATGTATAATATTGAAATTAGTAATTTGTTATTCTTAAAAAAAAAAATATCTATTTTAGTTTTAACAAAAAAAAAATCATGTTTAAGTATATATATATTTTTTAATACCTACATATAAGTTTATTATTTTATTGGAATCGTTTTTTTAAGCCAACGTACAAACTAAAGTAAAAAAAAACTGCAAGGTTCGTCGATCTATCAATAATCATATCAATATTGTACAATAGAAATTAGTTTTTATCATTAATAATACTGTTATACAAACGTAATGATAACCGTACGGCCGTTTATGTTATGTTACTTATTATGTCATTCGCTTGAGTTGTATTTTAAAAAAAAAAAAAAAAAAACCGACATCGCTTAATTGATACTGAATTATCATTGGCTAGAAAAGATAATGTTCACTAGAAAAATAATAACAATTTTAATTCGTTTTACCATGACTCGCCTTCATGTCACTATTCTACAGTAGCCAGCAAGGATTTAAAGCTGTCTATTTAAATTTTACTTTTAAATATGCCAATCGATGAAACACATACATATTGGCTTTAATACAATTAATGCATACAGCCGACTTATATAAAAGAATAATATAAAAATGGAATTTATAAAAATGTTTAATGAACTTTATAATCGAAGTTACGCGTATGTTTACAACACTTGAGGTCAACTACAAAATAAGTAAACCAACACTCCGCCGAATTATTGATCTTGCCGTATTTTAACCGTTAAATGATTACTATGTGTCGTATGCATGCTAAGAAACATATTTACGCGGTTTTACAAAAAATCATTAACAAGACCTAAAATGTTTTATATATATATAACATCAAACTTCGTATTCTGCCAACCAATAACGGTAGTTTTTCCGGGAAAAATAAATAATTTTTTTTTAGAATCGTTTGCATTGTGTACACGGTTTAATGAATAATTATAGATGTTGCTGAAAGAATTAAAAAATTATTTATGAATAATACAGTATAAATTAAAGTGGCACTTATAAACTCGACAAGGAAATTTATTTCTTTAAAACTCTTATAAATCATATCGTATTATTATTATATAAGTATATACGTTGGTATATAGTTCAAATACTTCTTTAAAAGTTTAGCTTATAAAAAATGTGTCTTGTTCGTTTTTTTAGATATATTCTCTTATATTGTACAAGTGACAAATATATATATATATATATATATATATATATATATACATATCAACACGATATTCTGTATAAATTATTTTGTTATTCAATACCGTAATCAATTTTTATCTTATAGCTGCATTTTGTGTTGTGTGTTTACATTTATTTGTCTTGTGCCTATATGCCGTTTGTATAAATATATTTTTACATTCTCTAGATGACCGGTGACGAATACAACGATTTGGAAAAAGACGAAGTTAATATAATTTCTGGAGCCCTCGAACTTCATCGTAAAAAAGTCGGTGATGTAATGACCAAATTGGAGGACGTGTACATGCTGTCATATGATACTATATTGGACTTCGAAACCGTCTCAGAAATCATGAAATCTGGTATGTGAATGTTTTATTATAAAAATAATTTTGTATACATACGTATATTATTTAATGTTGTATCTTTTTATTTGCAAATTTATATACATCACAATAGTTATTACTAATTTGGCATAACTAAAACGAAGCTCGTATGACACCTATGTCATAATATAATATTATTCAATATAAAATATTTGATTTTATTTAATAAAACTAAATTAAAGCTATTTGTATGATAAAAAATATATATATATTTATATGTATATGGTGCGCAGTTCCTCTGAAAAGTGGTGTATCTATTTAAATGAATACAAATCATTTTCGTCGTAAATGATAAGTTTTTTTTTTATTGAATAAAACGGCATAATAAATAATGGTTAAAAGATAATAAAAATAGAACTTTTAATGAAAAATGTGCACACATAGTTATCATAAAATAAATAATAATTACAGTATAAATTAATTTTTAATTATTTGTTTATTAAATTTTCAATGTTATAACAACACGCGGTCGTATATATATTTGTACAATATAGAGTATATTCCGGAATACTTACTTATGCATTTAAATTAAAAAAAAATACAACTATTATATGTTCAAATTACGATTACACGGTTTGTAAAAAGGTTTAATGATGCATATAATCAGCCGTCAACTAAATATGTAAAAAAAAGAAAAAGGTACAACAATAAATTGTATACTCTTGTGTGTTATTGTATTAATGTTCAATATAAACACTGCTGTGCAGGCATATCAATTTTTATTTATCTATTATGTCTGAACGAAAAAATGTTTGAAAGTGTGCAGGTCAGACGTTTTGATTTCAGAAATTTTTTTACAAAGTGTTGACAACAATATTGTTTTATATATTGTCAAACTTACCTAAGCAAAGTTATTGCTGTATCTGACTGAATGCATACCATAAGTGCAACAGCGGACGTTCGTCGTGAAAAAAAAAATGATAATAAAAATCACAGGAATCTAACAAAATATACATAAATCGATTTTTGGCAATCGTGTTAATGCGTATACCGTCCGCCATGCGGTTCGCATATTATATTATGATCTATATTTATATTCTTCCCAAGCCGTGGTGACTACTGCTGCTGTTGTCGCAGGTGCATGACATTTGAAAGATTTTTCGACTTAATACTCTCGTATAAATATTTCTAGTATCAATGGTCCCGTTGTATAGAGTGGGTAGAAGATAAAGAGTAAAAAGTTTAAAAAAAAAAAAAAATTAAAATTAAATCCGTTTTGAGAAGTCCACGGGCACTGGGCCAACGGGGTACCGCTGCCACCGCCCAAGTCCCGCAACTATAAATATAACGCTGCCGCCGCAGTACCGGCGACATCGAGCATGTATAACTCATGAGAGATTTTTTTTTATGGTTTTTTTTTTCTAATTGACCCCTAAGGGTTGTGCTCGATTTTAAAACACTCGTACTGCGCAAAATATACAGTAATATATACTTATACTCTATATAAAATATCGAATTGGACATGTTTCTCACTAAATCACATTTTAGAAACGACCTTTTGATGATACCGTATCAGAAGTATTTTAAAATCTTTCAGCCCGCGTTTTTGCTCGGTCGCTCTACCTCATACACACACAATAATTAGTGTCTCCTCGAATTTTAGTCGTTTTCATTAAGTAACGTCATTTTAGGACATAAAATATGTTACGTGCTTAATTTGTGGATATGTGCAACTAACGATTTGGTTATTTTTAAAGATTGATTCTATTGCTTTTATCTAAATTGTGTTGTTTTTATTTTTATCAGGATACTCGAGGATACCCGTGTACGAGGGCAACCGTCAGAATATTGTTACTATGTTGTATATCAAGGACTTGGCGCTAGTCGATCCCGACGACAACACATTGCTTAAAACGCTGTGCCAATTCTACCAGAATCCATGTTATTTCGTATTTGAAGACACCACACTCGACGTACTATTCAAACAGTTCAAAGAAGGTAAATAATTGCGTATTTCCGCAGCGACAGTTACGAATTTACGATCGTAAATTTATGGAGGGCGAGGATGAATCAGTTTGATATATTTCAACATAAAATTAATAAATTAATTACCAATGTACCTGATTACCCTATTTAAATTTGAAACAAAGCTCAATAAATAAATGATTAGGTGGTTGGTTCAACATTCTCATTATGCTTTTAACGTTTTCAAAAAAATGTCAATATTCTTTTTGATAATACGATTATTGATTGCCGTTTGTAAATGAGGCTATTAAGTCTTAACAAATAATAGATCAAAAATACAATTACAAAAAAATATTAAAAGTATAAAAAATGTTTTTATAAAATTAAAAATAACAGATATTTCACTAAGTACAAAATCATTATAGTTTGGATTTTTTTTTTAAACGATCACTTCGTAGATATCACAACTGTGACGGACATTGAGTTAATTTATAATTACCATTTATAAACACTCACAGCTGTTCCTTATCGTAATGGTTTTGGCAAACTTATTAAGATTTGCATTTAGATTACAGTTCCATATTGTAAATATATTTTTTTAACCCGTGTTCAATTAAAATATACAAGCCTTTTAATGTAAATGTGTAGGTACCTATGCTATAATAATACAAAGACACCGTTAAACATAATATTACTAAATAGTAAATACATACAATTAAGGTTCATAAAAAAAGTTATATAGTAACTAAATATTTTATATGAGTATATTTTAAATTTCTTGTATATGAAGTATCAACTTTCACAAAAGGATAATAGGTATAATATATACCTGCATAGTTATTTGAACTATGGTCACTTATAGGATTACTTTTTACTAAGTTTCCTAACTTACTATGGCCTATCTATTTTTATTTTTTTTTTTTTTAAATAATTTAAACAAATCAAAACTTTAAAATAATATAGGTAGGTACCTACTTATTTCGAGTTCACGTTAAAAAATAAAAACGAATTTTCTTTTAGTTTTAGTCTCGTTTCTTTTTAAAAGTATCTGCCATTTAATATAATACTTAACTAATAACTGATCAGACTGATATGAACCGATTGAACCTAAGACAAAATTTTGTATGATCAGAATTCTAATTATTGCACTTATCTCTTAGTTTTACCTTCTGACTTGAAAAATATTGTAACGGATATATCTATAGTTGTAACGGTGTCACACATTCGTAAACTGTTACAATATGTTTATGTTGATTATAATTCTATTCACTATTTTATAACCATAATCACACATTTAACATAAACTATGTAAATATGTTAAATAATTAAAAATTGAAAACTCATATATTATATCAATCGATTATTGATTAATTGGTTAAATATTTCTTGTTTTTAAAAAATAATTAATACATATATAATATATACTCTTAAATTTAAAATATTAATAACAGTTAATATTCCATAACAGTATCGTGATTTTATGAAACACCAATTATATAACTAACACACGTTTGTATACATTTGAATAATACCTACTGACGAAATCAAGTTTTTGTTATCGCTAGCAATAGGTAAATATATTTTTAGTCTAATCTGTCATTGCAATGCACAATACTCTTGAATTTAAAATCCCGTGAAATAATAAGGTAAACAAATTATTATACTAAATATAATAAATATTATTTTTAAATATTTTAAATTTAATAAAAACAGCGGCTATTGTTTAATGCAATAAATTAATCAATGAACCCTAAAAACGACGGAGCGCAACTGGTCTATCGATATTAAGTATTTTAAGCGCATTTGGTATATAAAAAGGCCATTTTAAGCCTAAAGTTTTGTTAACTCTCAATTTAACAATACTCCTCATCCACTTGTGACAGCAATTGGTCGAAAATACTGTGCCCATTATATTTTTAAGTATGATAATTTATTTAGCCAAAGATAATCCTAGGTGCTTATACTGTTGGTCTCTTTAGTACTCAGATTAATGAAGGTACCTATCTCAAATTAACATGTCGGTACTTGAATGCCTAATATACCACACCCAATGCTACGTGTAAAACATAACGCTATAGTAATAAGTAATAACAATAATAAACCCAAAATCCATCAACATTCTCAAAGAGCAATCGTACATCTAAAAAGATTTTGTTTTTTTTTTTTACTTATTTAAAATACTGTTTTATTTTATGAATTGCCATCAAATATTAAACCTTTTCAAATTCTATTCTACGGCGAGAAAAATCGTACTGATTATGCGTGTTTTATTTATTCGTTTAAATGAATTTTTTATCATTTTAAAAATAATAATTTAACTTTTGACAGTGACGTATTTGCACTTATAAAAATTCCACCCCAACTTATTCCCTGAAATGCCCACATTTGACTGTGTTTACTAAAACATCGATATTAGTAAAATGTCAAACTAACACTAATAATATATTTTAACATCAAGAAGTTTTGATCTTTTGTTCTAAATGACATAATAATAATTTCTAGATATATGAACAATATACTATTAAATTTAAATGTTGACGTTTTATTGGTCTACGTATAAAAATGTAAAATAAATCATTTTATTTTATTTTTAAGATCGAATAAATTCGAACCATAGGTTTTCTATTTGACTAAACTTGTATAGCTGTAGCATCTATATAATATATACATCTATCAACAGTAAAAATTATAATAATTAAAATAAAAAACATAAGTGTTATAGGAAAGTATATACGTTTACTTTGGTCCGATATATGAAATCATTACATGTTTTATAATATTTTAAAATATAAAAATAAAGTCGTGTTGAACTATTATAGTAATGTTCAAAAAAAGGTTCTTATTGTTTATTTGATACAATTATTTATATACCTAACAAACTTTTTTTTTATGTTTTTACAACATAAACAGGTATTAAAGGTCATATGGCATTTGTTCATCGTGTAAATAATGAAGGCGAAGGTGATCCATTCTATGAAACCGTTGGTATCATAACACTGGAAGATGTAATTGAAGAATTGATTCAGGCTGAGATCATGGATGAAACTGATGTTTACAGTGAGTAGCTTGTCAAGTACTTCGCTAATATAAAATATATTATTAACACTAGTATTTTTTCTTATCATTTTCAGCCGATAACCGTTCGAAACAACGTCGACAACAACGTTCACTTAGAGCTCAAGACTTTACAGCTTTTGCCGAGCGTAGTGAAAACCAGCGTATCCATATTTCTCCACAACTTACTTTGGCCACATTCCAATTTTTGTCATCAAGTATGTACATATAAACTTTTATACATAATTTGTGTTTAATCTTAATATCTCACCGTATTCGTCTCAATCATAACAACTTTGTTTTTTTAATAATTAGTGTTTTTGAAATATGATTTTTTGATAATTATTATACTATGTTAGAAAATCAAAATGATTATTGCCCATATTCTAGTTTTTGGTTTGTTCGAAAAAAAAAGCTTTTAAATATTTGTTTAGTACTTTTATTTAATTCATAATTTATTATGTTAAAAAATATATAAAACTAACTTATGTTAATATTTTAAAAGTTTAAATACTTGTTTCTTTTGAATACTTAATTACAAATAGTTAGGCCACTTTTGAAATTTATTATGACGTTGAGCTGGTATATAACTATATAAGAGAACAACTATGGTGAGACTATGTAGTGTGTATAGTGTATGTATGTAAACATCATCAAGATGCTTTACAAGTACATTAAAATTTAATCCTTTCTCATTTCATAATTTTGTTTAAATAGGTGTTGAAGCTTTCAAAACAGATATTATATCAGAAACTATTTTAATGCGCTTGCTCAAACAGGACGTGATATTCCATATAAAAATGAAAGATAAGGAAAGATTTAAGTCTGATCCGGCCAGTATCATTTATCAGCAAGGCAAACCAGTCGATTACTTTGTGCTCATATTGGAAGGACGCGTCGAAGTCACCGTTGGCCGTGAAAATCTTGTCTTTGAGAGTGGGCCATTCACGTACTTTGGATCACAAGCTTTACACCAAAACATCGGAATCGGTATAAAATTATACAAAAGGATTCATTGAACATACCCTCCCTCATTTTATTATTTAGTTGTGTTATGCCTAAATTCAAATTCTGATGCTTACATAATATTTAACCATACTTAAAAACTATAAATATTAATATTATTAGGTAAATTTTTAAATAGTTAAGTTTTTGAGAAGAAAATTTTCTTTTGTACTACGGTTATTAAACCTATAGATACTTATTGATTATTATGTACTATCAGCATTGGATTAAGTAGTTTTTTACTTGTTATATTTGATAATTAATCAATATCGTTGAGTTTATAAATGTAACTTATTCAATTTAAAATTTGTTTAATATTTTTAGTAATTTAGTACTTAACTAAATATTAAAAATTAAATATCGTTGATTAATTATTAACATACATTTTATATTTTATGTATATTATCTAATCCATAAACTGTGAAACTATAATAGGGTTTTAAAAAATCTAAAGTATTTTAAAATATGATCTTTAATTTTACTTTAAAAATCTTAAAATTAAAATTGTGTAGATGAATACTGATAAAGTATAAAATGAGAATGTTCATGCTCGATGAATCGCAATCGTCTTAGTGTTCACTTTAGTCTTCTTTCGACTTTGAAACTTTTTTTAACCATTATTATATTACCAAATGTATTACAGGCGAGTCACCACCATCTGGAGCTAATCCGACAATGGCCAATTCTACTGTAAACAACATGGGCAGTATACAGTCTGTGAACATCGATGCTATGTTGCGTTACACTTTTGTGCCAGATTACTCGGTGCGTGCGGTTACTGAAGTGATGTATTTGCGTGTGAAACGTTCGTTTTACATGGCAGCAAAACGTGCCACGCTCATGGAACGTTCTAAGAAAATGTCAAACGCCGGTGAATTCGATGAAGAAGTAGACAAGGTGATTAAATTCAAAATTTTTTACAATTCTTAGTACCTATAATGTATCATAGGTGAACATTTAATCTACAACTCGGGAACATTACAATTATTTACCTCTAGGATGCCTACGCCGCTCAGATCAACTACCCAATGTCCCAAACACTATTTTATATTGTCTATCACTGAGCATATCGTTTAATTTAAAGAAAAAAATTATTCTGCTAAAGTTTGGTATTCTAATTAACTAAGTGGAAACTTAATAGAACTATAATATGGTAATTTCCACAGTTAACGATGCCAAACTAATCAATATTTCTATTAAGTGCGAATTACTTTAATTGATGCCATCAAAACCAATCAAGTTATTATTACATTAAAGAAATTAATTCTGAAAACTATAAATTGAAATACCTCATAGCACATTTGAATGTAGACCAATTTAATGATATTTAAATCAAGTCTATTTGTTATTAAATACTAAATAATCTGAACTTAATATTTTTAAGCTTATTAATTTGTAAGGAATTCAATAAATTAAAAATTTAATATGCAACTATTACAGTTGCATTATATTCTATGTTATTAATTTAAAAACAAAACATAATATTATTTTCTCAATGATGGTACAAAAATAATTTGATTATTAAGTATTATAATACAATACGAAAATATACTTATTATTCGATAGGTGTAAGTTATAAGAGATGTGGATACTCAGATTTTATTTTATTATTATTTTGATTTTGATGTTTTAAATTGTATAAAATTCGTTTTTATTATTATTATTATTATTACTTACTCACTTATTACCTACTGAGATTTTTCATAAATTTATTTTCTAGATTTTTTTTTCTTCTCATATTTTATTTGAAAAAAGTTTCTTCCCCCATAAAATAGTTCAACTGTTCAACATATATATATATATAATTTACTTAAATAAAACATTCTGTAAATATGCTTTAATGTACTATATATCTTATGTAATAAAATCGCTTTACATATTACAATTAATAAAATTATGTTACTTTTTTGTTAAAGCTGTTCCATACTTATGGAGACGAAGATCGAAAGAGTATACAAGGTTCTCCTGACGTCACTAGAAATGCATCTCAGGTAAAACACAGCGAGCTATTTTGAAGTTCATTTATACAAAGAGTTTATTACATACAAATTTACACAAAAATAAAACTATTAAAATGCAGTTTCTGTAATTTTAATATTTATGGTGTAAACGCGTTTCAGCCCAACATCTCAGATTTCGCACTTCGTATTTAGGTGGATTTGTTCGCTGCCACAAGACCGCGAACACTAACACTGCTAGAAACTAGTCTGTAAACCAAAACATTATAATATCCTTTCCTAATCCTTTGATGGTGAGTGGGAGGCTGAAATGAAAAAAAAAAAGTAAAATGATTTACTATGATATATGATTTTGCCATCACTATACGAAAAGCACGCTTTGAAATATTATTCCACGTTGATATGGTATTATCAATATTTCATTTTCAATTGGCTGCCATCGAAATGATTTTATTCATTCATCACGAATAAATAGACAATATGCCTAGCTCATAGAGTCATTGCGGCTGATTCATTATTTTAAATTACCCTAGAGTGTTACACCAAAATATAATATGTATTTGTGCGTGTTAAATCATACTTATATACCCGCATGGATAATAAATATACAAATACCGCGATTTGTGTATATTTGTACATACGTACTTATTACATACATACATACATACATACATACATACATACAAACATACATACATGCATACATACATAGGTACATAAATTTGTTCAAACATAAATATATATACTTACATAGTAAATACACGCATACATGTTGTATACGTACTTTACAATGATATTTTCTTCGCAGATAATTCACCGTAAAAGTTCGCTCGTCCCCCTCAAGTCCGAAGGGCGTTCGAGTAATACAAAAAGAAACAGCAACGAGCTGTTTATATGAGGTAGTAGGAGTGAGCGAGTGTTACAAAATAATGCCCAAAGTTGTTCACTAACTGATTTTCGATTTTAACCTTGATTTGATTACTAGGTAGTTAGTTTCTAACATAATATTGACTGACAGTAATTTAACTACCAATACAACTTGTTTCAATACATAATATATTTATTTTAAGCCACTTTATAATACATAAACAATACTTATAATTTATAAATATTAATAATAATATATGCTTTTTAACATTTGTTTGCAAATTGTTCTTTAAGGATTTGTCTACATCATTACAAACACGTCAAATCCTTGTAGAACTACCTAATTTAGATTTTGAATTTTTACGCACACTTACTATATTTACAAATAAAACATTATTAACACCCATCAAACACAACACTTATATTATTTGTGAAATTATTTGAAATACACAACATTACTGATTCATAAGTAAACTATAGGTATTTGTATGAAAAAATTGTATTATTTCATAAAATAACTATATAATATTATATTATATATATTAAAATAATTATAATAATTTAATAGTTAAAGATTTTAAAACCAATTATTATCAATTGATTTATTGTTGAATCTTTCTAAAATGTTATCCAACTACATTATATATATGACATCTTGCAACAGTCCGTGATGTGTATAACATAATTTTGCTTCGATTTAATACTTCGAAAATGAATAAATTATGTGCATTTTCGCCAAGTGTGTTATTTATTAATTTTCCATTAAATATTACATGCTATGTTCAAACATAGTACGATTACCCTTAAAACTCGACAATTTTTCAATCAATATATTATATTATATTGTTGATTTTAAAAATAAATTTCTCGTTTATTTTCATACCCCATCGTACACGCATTACACGATAATATATTTACAGATATCAAATGATGTATAACACACGCCTTATTATTATACTTTGAGCTTAAAATTATAAAAATTATTTATCGTTAATTTTTAATTACGTTTTATACATATAATACATAAATAATTCAAATATATATGTGCTATCATATAGTTGCTGATCGTTATCTAATAAAATGTATGTGGCTTTCAGACAACAGTACAGCCATCAACGATTTCGGCCAATGCAGCATCTCTTAACAACGGAGAACCTAATCAACCTGTAGCTGTAGCTTTCTCACGAACACCCCAGGGTACCTCCGACGCATCGGCTGAAGAAAAAATCACACTTTTGGGCACGAACACGTTGTCCGCTGCTACGAAATCGGACGCTACTGATCCATCATCTTAAGTCTATCGATAATGATATTAACGTTTAGTCTGTTCTTTTATAATGATTGTCATTTTTTTTTTTTTTTTGCTTTACATGTTTCAATTAGATTGAGACGACAGCGTTTAATTAGGGACATGCATTACGCATAAGCACGTAGCAGATATTCTTTAAGTTTATACATTTTTTTTTATTATTATTATTATTATTATTATTATTATTGTTATGTGTTACGTATAATTTTTGACTTAAGTAGTTCTAGTCCAGCATTATTGTGTTCAGTAACTGTCCAAATAATCCCCTCAGAATCTATCTGAACAATACGCGAGTCAATATGTGTACATTTTAATTTATTTACGCTCTCTTTACGTTCGTATTTGGATAAATATAATGTTATTTAACTGCCATATTGGCTGCACACTGAAGACTCAACTCCCGTTTTATCGTTTTAGTAACTAACTACTTCAACCAGCTTTTATTTTATTGTATTTTTTTTTTTTTTTTTTTACTATTTATAATATGATTGCTCTGTTTATTTCATATTATTATTTATAAATATATACATATTATACACACCACACACACACACACACACACACACACACACACACACACACACACATACACATACACATAATATATAATTAAGCTTTGTGTCCCGGTGACGCGGAAATCCGTTTTGTATATATGCAAAAGCGAATCTCCAAGGCTTTTCGTGTCTCTTAAATTTTCAACCGATTAACAAGCCCTCAGAGTGATCTCAGAGGTATGCGAGTCCTCGTATTTTTTGATATTAAGTTGTATTAAGAAATCGACGAATCTATACTATATCGGCACTGTTCTTTGTTTTCTCTCTCTATTTTTTTTTTTTAATGAAATTAATAATATCTTTCTCCAATAATCGAATAAACAAAACAATCAAGTTTATACTAAAATATAAAATAAATTCTTATAAATTAATAATTTCCTAACACAAAACGGCATCACTATTACATCGTTTACCTTTAAAAATACGTTCTTCGACTTTGTTGTTAATTTTTTTTTTTATTCATTTGAGTATTACATATTGCTATGTATAGATATTCTACAAGTTTTTTAATTAACTTTAAATTAACACAGATGCGTGGCGTTTTATAATTCTTAGGAATGCGCTCAAATTAAAGTCTAAGTAATTATAGGTTATAAAAATAATCAGAACAACGTTTGGTGATTTGTTACATAATTTTTAGCTTCAGAGTTAACTAGTCTTTTTTTAAGCTTACGATTCATGTTAAATTAAGATATGATATATTATAGTGATGTTCGTTGAAATTTTTTTTTTTTTAAAAAAATGGATAGTTGGAACAAAATAATTAGTTAATATGGAAGGGGAGAAGTATAATGTTGAGAGTTTATATACATATATTTATATATAATAATAATTATTGATAATATTATAATTATTAATGTTTGTATACTAAATTTTTCGTAATATTTATCTGTTGCGTGTAAGTAATTATAAAATATTAGATAGATACCCTATATGATATAATTAAGCTGAATAATAATTTTAGAGCTAATCAACAGTAATCAACTGATGGTCATCGAAATTTGCCTCACAACAGCTATTCATAAAAAGTCCGAATATAATATCAATTACCATGGTATGATTCTGGCGCAATGTGCGCGACTAACATGGTGACAACATCATCGTATTATATAATATTACTACAGTAAAATCTACACGTATTAGTACGAACTTACACCAAGGTGCAAACAGTATACTATAATTTGAACATGGTGCTCGATTATTCAAACATATTATTATAATCATGATTTTTTTCATCCACCTAAAACGTCGACCGAATCATAATGTTTCAAACATAGCCTATGACCAAAAAAGAAAAAAAAAACAATCCATGTTTGAGCAGCATAGATTTATATCACGAGATCGATAAAACCATAATATTGAAGTGCCATGATACAACGAAATATCCATAATGATGTGTAAATGTAAATCAAACGATTCGGATAATTTTCCAGTGAACTGTTCGCGAATGAGAATGATACGACCCCTTGACGATTTTCGGACTGCTCTATATACGATACGATATACTTACGATACACACACTTGTTTGGTGAAAAAAACATTTCTGTTGTACACACAAAAATAAAAAAGTTGCCTACCATTATAATTTTGTGTTTCCACTTTAGTCGTACACGTTTTTCTTGGTTTTTTTTTTTTTTTTTTTTGGTGTATTGTATATATGTCATGTACATTTCGGATTATGCGTTGTACGTATATTTGCGTTATAAGCTATAATATTATTTTACTAACATCAATAATTATCATTTCGCGATCATGATTTATGATCAAAATTAAAATATTATAATTATTATTATTAATATTATTATTATTATTATTATTATTATTTGTGTTTAAGTATTCATTGTTAAATTGTTTATTTACCGACAAGTATATTCATTTCTAGACATAAAACTTTTTCGTGTAAACCGCCATTATTATTTTAATATTAAATATTTAAGTAGGTCCTTGACAATATACAATAATATTATTGTTGTGCATATAACTATATATATATTATATATTTATATGTGCATAGCTTATAGTTTTTTAATTATCTAATTTCCTGTAATATGAAAATATTGTCTTTATTTAGTTTATTTATACTATATTTATCATTATTGTTTTTTAGAATAGTTTTTTTGCTATACTTTATCTGCTAAATAATATGTACAATTTTTGTACAATAGAATTATGGGAGAAATATGGATATTTCTATTATCGCGTTCAGTCTGTTAAAAAACTATATTGCTGTTGGGTTTAGATTAGGCATTATTAAAATATATATAAACTAATTTTAAGGTTAAAAAAAAAATTAATTAAATTATATTATTATAATCATCGTTTTTTCAGCCAAGTGCTAGTTGTAATATTATTAGTGATGATCGAGTAAAAATTATTTAGTTAACATTAACGAATCACAATAGTTGTATAGACTAATCTAGTAATAATTATAATATTCAACACTTAAGCTTCTATTTAATGTATAGGGTCATTATAAAACAAACATGTCACTATAGCTGATATTAAACAGCCAAAAATATATAATTTTTAATTAATTTAGTTAAAAAAAAAATTCAAAATTGTAGTAATTCTGGCTGTGCTGCTCTCGAGTTTAGCTTTATGTTCAATTTTAAATTACAATTAAATCAACTGTTTAATTAAATTAAATTAAATTAAATAATTTCAGTTAGGTATTTATATAATCTGCACAGCCAGTTCCAATTTTGGGGCCTATATATTATATAAAAGTAGCTTTATTAATATATTATTAACCTAAAACATGTATACACTAGCATGGAGATAAATCAAATTAGATCAATCGTTATAGTACTTAAAAATATTATAGTATCCATACAGTTATACATTATGTTTAATATGTTAAAGATGATACAAATAACTTCTTTTTTTTAAATATTATTATTATAATTATTAAAAACCTATTCTGTTGTCCAGTACATGTAATATTATGTTATACATTTATTATTATAATTATAGATAAATAGAAAATTGACTTTAATGTACATTTATGGTATTTATTATTTATTTATTTCAAGGGTTCTTGATTTACAGCTTTCCTTTAAAAAAAATAATCCAAACATATGTTGATCACAAATACAGTTTGTAGGTACATTGTAACTAATCAGCCGATGAATGGTTTCTGTATATAACAATTAACTACATTATTATACCAATATCACAACATTTCATAAATTTATGTCTTACATTTTTAATGACAAAGTTGTGATATGTAATGCATTACATAGTCAAAATATTTTTTATCTTCTTGCTTAATAGGTACCTATGAACTTATTACTACCTACTTATTACTTATAAGTTATTAGCTAATTAAAATATAATTAACTGTTTATTTTTCTCATATTATTACTGGTTGTTCATATAAAATATTAAAATATTTTTATTATCAGTACTATAACTCGACTTCAAGGGATGCCTACCCACCTACATATGTGTTGTCTCTATCTTATGCATGCGTAACATACTAACATATAAAAAATCTATAAACAAATTCTTACTACAATTTGTTTTAAATTAATATTAGAAAAAATCAACATATTATTGAATATATCTATTCTTGATCTATTTTCATAGATTTAAAAAATAGAATCATTTAAATACTTAAAAAACATTTTAAAGTAAAAATATGAAAACAAAATTCTACTGGACGAGAAGTATAGGTACATATTATATTTTTCTCTACAAATTCGATGCTATGTACATTTTCATAATAAATAAACTGTAATAAGAATCTGGTGTGTACTTATGTAGTTTTTCCATATTATGTGCATATTTTGTAAGATACTCGTAGATAATATATTATATATATGAATGTGGGTATAGCGTATCTTAACAAACATTTATTCATAAAATGTTGGTTCATAAGTTATATTTAGTAAAATATTACAATACTCAAAATTTGTAAATCAAAAATAAGAAATACAATTGATATATCGTTGACATTAAGACTTCGCAGCTTTGTAAGCAATATAAAATTTTAACACTCTTACTCCTTAATAATTAATCTCTAGCAGTGGTTATGTCAAAAGATTTAGAGTACCTATCTACTGAGGAATCATGCTATATTATAGTCAGTATAATCTTTTTAGCTTAGAATATAAACCGTGTTTAACTCAGAAGTGACACAGAGGCACTGATTTCTTCAACTCAATAATTATCAAATAATTTTACGTGACGAATAGTTACTATTATAATATATTTAAGTTGTTGTGCAGTTACAGTGGAGTGTGGACCGTGGTCAAATAGCTATTGAGTATGCTATTATTGCTACTGATAGAATGTTTAAAAATTTGAAAGCTTACCTCC